GTTGATGTTGTTGACGTTGGAAGACCAAAAAGGAGTCCAAAGTTATCCAGCTTCCTTAAATCCCCTTTAAAACTGAGGTGTATTGATGTGGTTAAGAAACTCGACAGACAGAAAAATATGGTCGTTAATTGGGTTCTACATAAAGCTCAGGAGTAAGATATATGTTGCGCCATAGTGTTATCTTTTTCTTTAATCAACTTTGTTATCCAGTGTAATTATATATTATGTCTTTACTGTGTGCTGATAATATTTATTTTATGCACAGTGATGTGATTATATATCAGTCTGTGTCCGGTGAGTATATTGTGAAGAGGGATGTGGTGGCATGCTTGGCACCGAATATGCCAATCAACGAGGCACTTATTGATCTGTGGGCTCGTATAATGAACTGCAATGAGAAGATCGGGAGTCATGGTTCAGTACCGTGTTTCTTCGCAAACACGCGTCCGTGTAATGAGGTGCATCGTCATATATTTTGGTGTATTAGAAGCATACTTATGATTTTGTTGCAGTAATGCTTACTATAAAAGTTTGTGACTCACAGCTTTTTTTCAAGGGAAAGAGAAAGAAGGACGTAAGTTACAAGAAGTTTGTGGAGATGCTAGATGCAGATATGAAACGAATGTGTGTCTACAACTGGAAGAAAGTTTTAATGGTATCCCAATTTATTGCATTTCAGTTATTGATCACGACGTGCAACATTACATTATATATATACGGTTTTTTTTCTTTGTTTGAATTACAGTACGTGTTCCCCATACACTCTGGAGGCTTTAGTGGGTTGATTTGCATTTTGCCGGACACTTGGAAGATACACATCCTAGATAGTGCTTGCTTATGTAGAGACGCCTCCATCAAGAAATTCGTCGCGTCGCATGTTAGGATTTTGGTAACAACTATATCCACTTGTAGAAAGTTAACTTCTTTTTTTATTGCGGAGGTTTTGTATTTGTTTTTTCTATTTTTTTTATTCATATATATATATATATATTATTGCTTTTTTTGTTGTTTTTTTGTTTTTTATTTTCTTGTTGTTTTCATTTTGTTTTACATGTTAGCGTGTATATTTGTTGCAGCAACAATCACTTGCGAAGTACATGGCACAGATGAGTATGTCGAAATCGTCAAAGTCGGTCGCGCTCTCGATTCCGGACGTCATTGATTTGCCGTGGACTGAAGGTGTCGACCATGTAGATGTCGGCGTCCTAACAATGCGTCACATGGAGACATTCAAAGGACGTGTTACGAATGGCTGGAACCCGGATGTGAAGAAGGCTGACAAGAGGTAGATCGACCTCATGAGGAAGCGTTACTGCTACGTCATTGCGTTTGCTCCATACAACAAGGTGAAAGACGCTAACCTCGTTGAATCAAAGAGGTCTCCAAGGAAGAAAGGCGGTGTTGTGTGATGTGCGCATGGGTCGTTTGTTGTTTGGACCCGTTAGACGTATTGTTGCCATGTTTTGGTTTATTACATATGCGTGTAGGACCTAATGTTTGGTACGCCCGTCGCTAGATGCTTATTTCTAGCACTATGGTTTTGGATGACTATTCTAGTAGTTTGTTATGATTTGTTTTTGTCGTTTTTGGTATGTTAATGCAACAGTATTAATTTGTTTCTTTTGTTTTATGGTGGCTGAACGATGCGATGCATTTATAAAATATTATGTAGAACAGGTTTCCGATTCAAGGTTTGTGGATTATCGGACATAGCTATTGACGTTATTTTGTGGAGTGGGTCGATAAAGTGCGATATTACAGTCTGTAAAGTGCAACGACATATTGTATATTGTGCAATGTGACTGTATATAAAGTGCATTAGCGTGGCATATACAGGAGAAATGCTTAAGTGCGACATTACAGTATGTAAAGTGCAACGGCGTGTTCTATGTCGTGCAATGCGATTATATATAAAGTGCAGTAATGTAGTATATACATAAGAAATGCTTGCATTGCCAGACGTTTGGTTGTTGCGATGTCGATTTGTTGCAATCTTAAATACGTATGTGTATTAGGCCGTCATAGCGAATTATTTTGTAATTGTGTAAATACACGAGTTCATACACTATACTCTTCTTTAAGATTCATATGGTATCAACAATTGAAAAAAGTGCAACGCGATGTCCATGGAAGTGCAACGCAATGTTTAGAAAAGTGCAACGCATAATCCAAAAAAGTGTGATGTGCACATTGTGTTTGCAGTCAATGTATGCACCCAAAATACCACATAAATATCCCACTGGCACACATATTAATTATCAGCCAATACCACTGAAAAAAAAAAAGAAATGACGAGAGTAGCATTAAAATGACCGACGCAAAATTCACGACAATTATCAAGTGCTACATAGAGCAATATTCGCTAAACAAACAACCATATGTCTCTACCTTTTCCAAATAAAGAATAAAACAAAAATCCAAATAAAAAATAACATTAAACCAAATGTCCAATCGTAGTATTTTGATCCGAGATGACTTCCATCAACTGCTTGTTGCATCACCTGTCGCCTGTGTCTGCATGTATTATTATTATTATTTTATTATATATATATACATGTTAATATTCATATATCACATCTAATACGCATTACACTATTGTACGAATACACACACATTGTTAATAAATACATGCGAATATTGAGAAACAATATAGGATTTGACATATGTATAGAGATGCACGTTGTAGAGAAATATATATGCATAATATATATGTTAGAGTATCAGACAGCTATTTGTGCATTTACCTCGACGGCATTTGATGTGTACGCATGCTGCTTCTTGGGACACGTACGTGCATTGTGGCCTGCTATTTCACCACACGACTTGCATGTCCTTCGTTTCTTTTGCGACCCTTCAATTGTCTTTTCCTTCAAACTTTTCAGTCTCTTCCCACTGCCTTTGTTCTTGGATTGTGTCGGAGGGTGAATGTTCACCTCTTGAGGAGCAGCCATGCCAACAAACGATTCAAATTGGTGTTCTTTACCAATGGTCGTTGTATCCCCTGATTGCAAACAGCATACACGATTTTTTATAAAGTGCAATAACATGTTTTATATTTTGCAATGTGTCGATATGTAAAGTTCAATAATATAGTGTATACATTGTACATACTTAGGAACACTTTACAAGTGATTGTCGCATCCCTTGTTTGACCAGACATGAGCTTAGACTTGTATGCTTCGACGATTTTGGAAAATTCGATAAGGCGATCGACACAAGGCTCAGCTAATCCAATGCATATATGTATATCTGACCACAATTTGTTCAACAAGTGTTTTTTATCATCGGCCCGAGCACATTGTGCAGCAACATTGCCAAGAACATGAAACATGGGATTACTAATCGCCTGCTTTGTCCATCTCGATATGATATGTACCGACAGAATTAGATTGAAGTTAAGGTCTTTGAGCACAAAAAACACGTGTCTACACAACCACCCGTACAACTCGAAGTGCTTGCACGAGCATGCAGACGTAGTCAGGACGACATCATGAATAACAGTGAAGGTCTTACCATTTGGGTCTTTGAGTTTGAATTCCATAATTCCTTCACTTTTGGAGACGCTCGTTACACGACAATTGAAACATGCTGCACATATCTCACCTTGTACACGGTAGAATGAGAATGTCGTGTAAACAGACCTCGCGTGCCTCTCAATCGGCAAAGGTGTCTTTAAGTCGGCCATTTGCGACTCACTGTCGTTTTGTAGTTTGACTGACACATTTCGTTGCGCGTCCATCGCACTGTCGAAATGTAGTAAGAACTCGACTAAGCTGGAATGGCTACTCGTGAAATGACCGAACCAATTGTTCTCGCTCTTGAACCTGGACGTTGTCCTCATCAAACCACTCATTTTGACATCCTTGAAAAATGCTGGAATCCAAAATTCCCTTTTTGCAAATAGATCAGTGAACCAATTGTGTGTTTCCAACATATAATCTCTCATTATTGCCACCCATTTAGCTTCAAATTCATTAGGCTCTGTAGTTCGATCCCACACAATTTCATTAAGCCTTCATTTGAATTCTACATCGTTATTTAAAGAAGGACCAACCTTGTCGCATAATTTTGTCATTATATGCCACATGCAAAATCGGTGTTTGCGAGTTTCGAATACCTTAGGAAATGCAATGCGATGGACGGGTCTTGGTCTGTGACAATGTACTCGGGCTCGTGGATCATGGCATCTTTGAAATTCTTCAATACCCAAACATAAGAGTCGACGTCCTCTCTCGATATAAAGGCAGCTGCAAATGTCACACACTTGTCGTGGTTATCTATGCCGGTAAAAGGTGCGAATACCATGTTGTACCTACACGTTGATCAAGTTGATTTAGTATTCAAGTGATAATTTATATTGTGCAACCAAAGAATGCATAAACTATGCAATTATTGTTGACATTTGCAAATATTATTGACCTGACAACATATGTTGGAAAATATACGTGAAATTTGTGCTAACCTGTTGGTGCGGTACGTCGCATCAAACGATACAACATCACCAAACGCACCGTAGTTCCTCCTCGAAATTGGATCAGCCCAAAAAAGCTGTTTCAAACAGTCGTTTTCATCAAGCTCGTATTGGAAGTAGAAGGCTGAGCTTGCTTCCCGACGCTTATGGAATATCTCGATAATCAACTGTGCATCAGCTCCTAAGAAGTACGCAAGGAGTTCCCGCTTAAAGTTCTTGAAATCCATGCTGGTGGCTCTAATGTTCGTGTACCCTCCAACCATCTCTTTGTACAATCGGTACGACTTGACCGGCCCTATATTGGCCTTTATGCAATTCATTACGAACGACCGATGTCCTGCATTCATCGACCTACTGATCTTCATTGGTGACTTGCAAGCATCAGATATCATTGAGTGGCTATGTTTTTTCTCAAAGATTTTAACGATGTATCCGTTCAATCCATCATATCGCACTCCAATCTTGGCAGTACAACCTACCCGGCTGGACACTCTACGTCTTGTCACGTGTCCTTTAGCATGTGCCGTAGGACTGATGACTGCACGTTGCTTGTAACCCTCTCGCGAGCACACGAGGTATTTCCAAATAACCGTCTTGTCACGTGCTTTCACCAACGTGCTATGCCTCACATAAAATCAAACGGTAAGAGCATAAGTCTTGTAGAAGTTCACCGCTTCATGTAATTCCCGGAATATTTGTCCTTGATATGGTTTAATCGATTCGTCACATTGTGGTATCCAATGTTTTGTTCCACCCGGTGTTATTAAAAGTTGTTGTGTAACCGGCGTTTGCATTCCTTAAGTGCCATTGAAAAAAAAAAATATCAGTAGTAATAACTAAACCACCGATTGCACCGATGTGAACAGACAGTTGCACGCAATAGAATCGACTGTTGCACTTTATCACAGTATAGATAAAATTGTCCTCAGTACCTGGTTGAGAGTCATTTAATTCCATTGTTTATGCGACCCAACCAATAAAACGTATGAAGTCCCTAAAACCACATGAAGAAACAAAGTATATCAGATCAACTTCCCTAAAATTACATATTTTGACATGTAGATAATTAAACCAACAATTCTCAATTTCGTACAACAATTGACCAAAATCGAAAGTTTAATTCGAAATATACCTAACACCGTCAAGTATGTGATATGGATGTTCAATCGGAAGTTTTGGGCTCGCGAATCGAGAATGTTATAGAAATCTCATGGAATATTGGAAAACCGAGCTCGACATGGTGAAAAATCGGTCGCGAAATATACACAGCTGCGGGATTGAGAAGATTTAGGTGAGGGTATGAAGGAGCTGGGCGATTTTTAGGGGAGCTTGTGCGGGTATGAAGGAGCTGCGAGATTTTGGGAGTTTATCTCAGTATGTAGGTCTTCAATGAGACATTAAATTGCGGTAATTACGTTATTACCCTCCAATTGATGGGGTAATTGAATCCCAGCGGATATTTTATGTCCATCTGATTTCATTAATCTGTGTACCAAATTTATTCCTATTTCTCGCATTAAGGGTCATTCTCACCGGAGCGTGACCCTATATATATATATATATATATATAGAATATAGATGAAATAATGTGATGTTATCTTACATTTATGTGCACGCATTTTTCTTATTATAGTTAGCGCATGCATTACGTGTTTATCACTATGTTCAATTTAATAAGGAATAATATGTAGTTGATAATGGTCGAATTACTTTCCGAGATTATTTTGAGTTCTACGTGGACTAATAGAAGAACTAACTTGTTCAATCGAGACCTTGGTTTCATTTTTTTTTTTACACTTAATTAATTAAACAAAGGGAAAAAAATTGTTGAGGCCATGCAAATAATTTATTTGTAAAAATGAGACATATTTAATATGAATACAGAAAATCTATAAAAAAAACGACAAATAATATTTGTCTTTTTAATAATTGAAATTTTCAGTACAACCTTGGGAAAATAAGTCCTACAATGTGATATAATTATCCCTAAATAAAAGTGAGTAGTGCGTTCATATTAATGTATTAATAGAAAAGTCAAAACAAGCTCACATTTTTTGTTAGAAATTCTTTTATGATAAAACCTAACCATTTAGGGGTATACCCCACATGTTATTATAACAACAACATGTATTTATATTCATATTATATTATATTAATTATATATATATATATATATATATATGTAAGAATCGGAGAAAACGGGTACGGTCCCACGCACGTGAAGCGCAACATATTAGGGTAAGCCTAGAGTCGTCATAGTGAAGTTTATTTTAAAATCAATTGGCGGTAGGAGGAGTAGACCACCAAACTTTATAAGTTAGGCCTATTTACTTTAAATAATAAGAAAAAATTTCAATGAAATTAAATTTGAATTATCCTGCTTTATCCTATCACTACAAGAGTGTGATGAAAGTCTAATGGAAAATTGCGAGGGAAATATATTTCAAAGGAATTCCAACAGAAATTTCAATGGATATCCCAATGCTATATTCCATTGGAATTTTCCAATAGATTCCAACAGAAATTACAACAAAATTATTCCGCTGGAATGAGTTTTCCGTTGGAATTTTCGTTCAATTTTGACGATTCCAAAAGTACATTTTTCAACGGAAATTTCTACAGTAAAAAAAGGTTGGAATAATAGCCGTTGGAATGATAAAATTTCATCTAAATTCCAATAACAAAAATCATTCCGGCAGAATAATTCCGTTGGAATGATTCCAACGGAAGCTATACTATTGAAATATCCGTTGGAATTTCCATTGGAATATATTAGCGTAGGATTTTCCGTTGGAATATGACATTTTTTTTTGTAGTGTATATAAGTTTGATTTGAAATTCAAATTATTTAAACATTTCACAAGTTTTATCGGCTTTCTATATTTGAGTTGCTTATTTTTGTGCACTCTTTTATCTGCTTAACTAGTACGTACCCTGTGCGATGCACGGGACATAGATATTAAATGAGTTATTTTCACAGGCTGTGTTCGTTTAAAACTGAAACGTAATATGGTTATCATCTATGTTCCATCTATTTTAATCAGCGTTCAGTCCAAAAAACAATATGGTTAGAATCTATTTCTCACCTCTTTTAATTAGAGTTTTTTTTTAGCCAGAACATTAAATTGAGAATGTTAGGGCTAGTTTGTAAAATAACTAATATATTATCTCACTAACAGATTATACTAACATGAATTTGATTTTAGTATATATATTTATTCCTTGATATAAGAGAAAATAATAGTTTACTTATTCTTATTCACCATATAATACTTAATTATTATTTTATTATAAACTTTGTTGTCATGTAATGTCATTGTTATTTATAAAAGTTATAAAAGTACGTCTTCTTTTTCTTTTTATTTTATGTAATGACAAATATTTAATGCACATTAGTATTATTTATTTATTTAATCAATTTAAAATATATAAATAAATTTAAAATTAAGTAGTGCATAAATATTTTACAAAATATACACACATGTTTTCTTAGAATTTAATTTTGTATTCTAAAGAACTTTGATTTAGCAAATGTCAAAAACTCAATCCCTTCTATAATCAAGATTTTTCTAATTTGCATTACAAGAATTTATAGTTTGTTTAGCATAATCTGCAACGAAAATATATTTGACAAGAATTTCATTAAAGAAATAAATAAACATAAAAAATGCTAAAATAAAAATAATCATGGTAACCAATAATATACAAATAAATTCTAACAAACAGTTAATATATTTCAATTTTAGTTTTTCATCGATAGTATAATTTTTAATGTATCTGGTCATTATCTCTTAAACGGTAAATTGTATTAACTTGAAGAATAATTTATTTTTTATATATAACGAAATAAATCTTAAGAAAAAATTATAGTGGCAAAGATTAATTCACCAACTTGATTCGGCTGATTAATTAGAATAAAAAATTCTACCTAATCTGTTACAATTTTCTACAAATATTTTTGGATAAAAATTTAATATTTGTGAAAAATATTAATGTTATGGTTAGAATTTAAAATATGTTGTAATATTTATCTTGACTAAAATATTATTAACATGAATAAAAAAAAAATCAATCTTGTAATTTAATATAATGGATATCAACAAAATTATTGCATATATCAATAAAATTAATTAAGGACACAACATTTTTTATCATATTAGATTTAATTTTATTTGAAAACGTGTATATGAAAGCAACTAATAAATGAATTTAAAAAATTTTTAAAAAAAATATATGCATTAAATGCTCCCAAAATTTTTACTTAATATTTCTAGTAAATGGTTATTCTTATTATATATATATAAAATAACTTTTAAATGAGTCAGACTCAATAGAATTTGATCAATCCTAGAATTAATTTCTAAAAAATATTAAAATCAATCTGTTAAATAACAACTTTTCGAATATTGGTAATGAATAGGTTTGTTTTTTTTTTTTTGAATTAATAAAATAATTTTATTGCAATCATAATAACTAAATTAGGATGACCCCTTCCATTTCTCATATTCGTGTCGTTCAAATTGTATGTTAGTATTTAGAATGATTTTGATTTATTAACTTTAGTAAAATCCACATATATTTAATTCGCGAATACGCTGAGCTTAAGTGGCAGACTCCCACACTTCGAAATTCTATGTGGCAAATTTTCATGGGTTTATCATTTGGCTTGATTAATTTTAATTTATTTCCAATGCAAAAAATAACTAGGCTTGGAATATCCATATATATATACTAGATATTTGTGAAAATTTCTAAGAGCATTAATTATGTTATCATATTATTTCCTATTCTAGATAAGATTTGTAAGGTATTATTTTTACTCCAAGCTTTCCTCTTTCTTCATCTTTGTTTTATAATTATAAAATATTTACTATCATAAATTACAAATATATTTAAAAGCTAATAAATTTTTTATTTCAACTTTTTATATGCAGTATGATTTGGTTAATTTCATGATTCGGGATTTTGATGATGATATTGATGTAAATCACCTATGCATGTAATATGATGAATTGGACAATGAGTTCCTAAATGATTGATTGGGTAATGAATTCCTGTATGTTCAGATATGACTTGAACTGTATAAGTAAAATTGTTTTGAGTAACGCCAATAAATGCTTATTATCGAAAAATCAATTTCGAAAAATTAACCTTGATTTTTTTGAAAAAGTCCATAAATTTTCTTTAAAAATCATTGGAGCGTTACAAAAAACACCTCCATATGTAGACCAACTGTGAAAAACTCACGTTGGGTTCCTACAAAATAGAAAAAAAAGTTGATCAGCAACAAAAATGCAAACAAAATACAACAAACAAATTTTAACAAAACCCTAATTTTAAAAATTGTAAACCTAATTTTAAAAATTATAATTTCAAAAGTTATACTAACCATATGTAGGAGTAAGAAGGTAATCAAGCTTTTTTAGCCGCAATTTCATCTGGTAGTAGGGGACTTGAACTCCTAGAACAACTTTCTCAATCAAACTGAGATTGTCTACATCAAACTGAGCAATTTTCTCCTTCATTTGTGGTTCAGATTGTTGCTTCACTGGCTGTGATTGAGAGGTCGCTGACTGCGATTTCTCCTTGAGTGAAAGTTCAGATTGCTGCTTCACTGGTTGAGACTGAGAGGTCTCCATCGCCGATTTCGATGGCTCTTTGATGTAATTTCTGATTTCTCCTTCAATTTAGAAACCTCCTTCGGTAATTTAGACTTATCCTTAAAGGATTTCATTTTTTTTTCTCACCATTTTCAAGAAATTACGATTCTGTGGAATATTGAGAGGATGAGAGTCGAATATTTTTCTTGAGTGGAAGTTTTAGGTTTTAGGGATTTGAGAATTGAGAGTCGATTCTGTCGATTAAGTTACAGACTTGGGGGCAAAATCTGATAAGTTTCGCGCCTTCTCTTATCCTGCCACGTAAAATCACAATCATTCCACATCAGATAAAAAACATGCCACGTCACGTCATGTCAATTTTTTATCCAAGATGCATATAAAAATGCACCAAAAATGATGAAATCGACAAATTATAGGACTCAGATTGAAAGTGGTCAATGACGGGGTGGGTTTTTGGACTGTGGCCAAATTATAGGACTCAGATTGAAAGTGGTCAATGACGGAGTGGGTTTTTGGACTGTAGCCAAATCATAGGACCAATTTTGAAATTTTTCCAGCTATTATGTCAATGGGGAAACTATTTATGACAATGCTACATATACAATTATAGCTAACCATTAGTTGACAATATTAGTTAAATTTTCAAATCCTATTCATACATATATTTGTATTTCAACTATCTACATATGTCAGGTCTTGTTGTCACGAAGTGTTGTACAAACAAATAGCCTTTTCCAACCATTTAATGCGGTTCAACGCTTAAGATATCTATTGAAACCGGTTTGTACATTTTCCTTATTTCTCTTGTTTTTCTTTTTATGGAAAATGAAATAATGTGATGTTCTTATTATGGTTAGCGCATGCATTACGTGTTTATCACTACGTCAATTTAATAAGAAATAAAATGTAATTGATAATGGTCGAATTACTTCCGAGATTATTTTGAGTTGCACGTGAACTAATAGCCGAACTAGCTTGTTCGATCGAGACCTTGGTTTTATTTTTTTATTTACTTAATTAATTAAACAAAGGGGAAAAATTGTTAAGGCCATGCAGATAATTTATTTGTAAAAATGACACATATTTAATATGAATACAGAAAATTTATAAAAACGACAAATATTTTTTGTCTTTTTAATAATTGAAATTTTCAGTACAGCCTTGGGAAAATAAGTCCTACATTGTAGTATAATTATCCCTTGTTATAAAACTAGAGAGAAAAAGAGAGAATATAGAGAATGCTTTCTCTTGGTTGTATTTTCGTTATAAATGAAGCTCCTATTTATAGGAAAACTTCTAATGTCACAATCGTAATAATACAATTACATCAAGGACAAAATAGTCATTCACATATATTATTTTATTCTCCTCATGCTCCTCATGCACAATATTATAACATTCTTAAATAAAAGTGAGTATAGTGCGTTCATATTAATGTATTAATAGAAAAGTCAAAACAAGCTCACATTTTTAGTTAGAAATTCTTTTATGATAAAACCTAACCATTTAGGGTACCCCACATGTTATTATAACAACAATATGAATTTATATTCACATTATATTAGTTATATATATATATATATATATATATATATATATAAGGACCGGATCAAATGCAGTCGACTCTTAAAATACGCCCAGTTCTTAAAATGCGGACAACTATTAGCAACTACAGACAACTAACCTAGCAACTACAGAGAACTAACCTAGCTACTACTAACCTACCAACTACAGAGAACTAACCTAGCAACTACTAACTTAGCAACTACAGAGAACTAACCTAGCAACTACAATGAACTAACTTAGCAACTATAGAGAACTAACCTAGCAACTACAGAGAACTAAACTAGCAACTACATAGAACTAACCTAGCAACTAGCATCTACATAGAACTAACCTAGCAACTACAGAGAACTAATCTAGCAACTACAGAAAACTAACCTAGCAACTAGAGAGAACTAACCTAGCAACTACTAACAACTTACGACAAACACAAATGCTCTCACCTCTCTCTAGCTTTCTCTCTCTAAAAACCACCACAATCCCTCCCTCAACCACCGCTTACCCTCACCGTCCGCAGCCACTCCCGCCTAGTGCACTACCGGCGGCGGCCTCCCCGGCCTGCGTGGCCTTTTTCATTTTTTCTAGATTCTCCCTCAACCTAAGCTATGGAACCAGTCTCATCACTTACCCCCCAACCTGAAGCCACGCTCTCACCGGAGGTGCTTAACCTTTTGTCTCTCCCAGAAGTCCAACAAATGCTCTCGGATCTGTTGCGAAGAAGCCACCGAGTGGAAGAAGGGGAAATCCCATCTCTTGCGCCCGAAGTTCCCCAAAATGTTGTCAACAACCGAGAGCCCATTGAAAGCCAAAGGCCCTCTGCGTCGAACTCAAAACAGAAAGGACAAAGAATAATCTCAGAAATTTTGAAGAAGACATCTCCATCAACCAAACACTCCTCAGCGACGGCTTCGACGGAATATTCTTTTTCCGGTGATGAACAGCCGCTCGCCGTCACCTCTTCACCATCACTGCAGCTACTTCCTATGGAGAACTCGACCTCCGCCGGAATTTCAGAGGCCACTCCTGGGATTTTGCCGTCGGAACTCCCACCGTCGAAAGCAAGCTCACCAATCACCGTCCCTTCTCTGGAAAATGGCGCCTCAGATGACCGAAACCCTCATCTGCACTTTGAGGAGCAATTAATCCCGACCCAACACATGGCAGATCAGGCCAATATTGGGCCAATACAGATTGGGCCTAACCCCCAAGTCTCACAGAAAACGGTTCTCTACCAGCCCACTAACACCTCCCCTCTTTTGGGCTTATCTAATTTCGGACCCATTCAATCAACCTCACAAAATCAGGACCAGCCCACTTCACCCCACCATTTTACTCTCCCTTCTCAGCCCGCAATGCTCACACAACACACAACCCAGCCAATAAACCCACAGCCCGTTACAACCAATATCCCATCTCTAATCTGCATCCGTCATAATCAAGCGTCCTTCATCAGCCAGCCGGAAGTCGCCGACCACCTGACATCCGGCGGCGCTGGCGCCGTCACAGGACCTCATTCGGCTGGCACACCTCAGCCAACCACCGAGCCGGCCTCTACAAAACCAAACTCCCAGACTGTCCATCCTCAGCCAAATCGACATAACAGCTCCTACCAACTATCAGCCTCCAATGAACAATCAGTAGGAGTCGCCCAACAGACCTGCGACGGCAAGGTCAACAGAATTTCTGAACCAGGCGGCGCTAAATCTGGGACTGCCCCAAAGTCGGTCACTACGGCCGAATCCTTGGACCAAGGCCAAATTCATCCTTTCCACCAAACCTCCCCGCCGGACTAGCCACTTTGGCTGCCGGAGAAACCGAACCGGCCACCTTGTACATGCGCGAAGATGGTATGGTTGTTGAGGGGCCGGACACAACGGCCGTGCATCAGGTCACCGAACACTCCACGCCCGGGACTCCGATGATAGGCCCTCCCACGGCTAACCCCATTGCAACCGGGCCTCTTCCGGGCACCTCCACTGTCCCGCTTTCCTTCCGAGAAGCCATTACCGGAAAAAAAAATAACGCCTCGGGCGCCCCTCGCAAAACACCTAAGGAGTTCACCTTTGACGGGAACTATGAGCACGCTTGCGGAACCGTCATCCGCTTGGAGGGAAACAAGGTGAAGGCCCGATACACTGAAGCTGAATCTGTCGCTCTTGCAGGTAAGTTAGCTAACACCCTGGTGTTTAAGTTTTCTTATGCTATCCCTGCCCCCCGAGACATATCTGCTGGACTTGAAGTGGTATAATTTCAACCACCTCCTAGTGTCTTTCCACCTCCCCGAGGACTATAACGAGGTCTGGCTTAAGACCTCGATTCATCTGTGTGGATGCCCAGCTAGGGTGTTCAAGTATAATGCCAGGTTTAACCCGAAGACGGAGACGCCGGTTGTCCCCGTGTAGTGCCGTCTTCCTGGCCTCCCACCCCATCTTTACGACTGTGCTGCCATCAATACACTGGCTAAATGTATTAGACAGCCGATTCGTATTGACTCCCCGACGGCCCTTTAGACGAGGGCTAACGTGGCGCGATTTTGTGTCGAGATAGATCTCAGAGCTGAGCTCGTCCGTGAGATTGAAATTGAACAAGGCTCGGAGACCCTTCTTCAGCGGGTGATCTATGAGAAGATCCCCGCGTTCTGCACCTTGTGCAGTCATGTGGGACATATTGTGGCTGATTGCTGCAACAGTAGCAATAAGCAACGACCCACTCTTCCGCAGCGCCATCGCGCGGCTCAGCCAGGGCCCTCCACCGGCAGGAGGGACCCCAAAGGAAAGGGCAAAAGCCCTCTCCGTGCGCCCGAGACCCCAAAGGGGTCTAAGGATAAGGGCAAGGCTGTGATCGACGCCACTGCCCAAACTGGGAAGGATGCTCACCCTAACCAGCCTAAGCAGTTGGCCATAGTTGGGCCAAAGCCCAAGTCCACGAGCTTTCTTCCCAGACAAACCCTCCAGTCGGCCTTCAAGGCCAACCACTCGTACTTTGCTATTCTCTCCCCAAAGGCAGAGAATTAGGGCGCGCCTTCCACTAGTGGCCCACCTAAGATTACTGACCTCACGCTTCTTGACGACGACGACCTCCCTGTCGACGATATGGACCACCCGGATGCCTCGCCCAGGGGTGAGTCCATCCATTTATCCGATGACAGTGCACGCGACGCTGCTCCTTTGACCGTGCGTGCATCAAGTCCAGACCGCTCTCTAGATTTGAGGGCCAGTGCCATCACCGCTCCCCCGAAAGGGAATGAGTCGGTCCCTCCTCTCTCTCCGGAGATTAGGAGCACGGCTGAGCATATAGCCAGCCCCCACCCTCCCTCTGGCGGCGAGCACAGGACTGCTCCGCCGGCTGTATCCTCTCTTTCTCCCATCCCCGAGCAGGTATGCGGTCTTAACCGAGCCCAGCATGACGTCTCGTGCGAGAGCTTCGCATCTAGTGCCTTCGTGCACTATGACAGACAGGAGACAGCCCCGGAGATGGGGCAACTCGCTAGTGCCGCCCTTGGTCAGACTGCCCAGCCAGACACGCAGGCCACGAGCACCTACCGAGGCAGGCAGTCTACGAGGACCAGAGCCACGGAACGCACGACGCGATGAACTGTCTCCCCTGCTATTGGATCCTTCCGCCATATTCATTCTTTAGGTGGCCCGACCCAGCCTCGCCACAGGCGGACTATGTCCGGTGGCTCTTGCGACCGTTGACATGTCTATTACATCCATTACTTGGAATGGCCGTGGCCTGGCGAATAGGGCTACTCTCTCTCACCTCCATTCTCTCATTCATGACCACAGACTCGATTTTGTTGGTTTTATCGAGCCGATGATTCGCACCCCTTCTTTTGACTACTACTCAATTCGCCTTGGCTTTCACTCAGACATGGGTAATATTTCGTATAAGATCTGGTTCTTTCACTCGCGTGATTACACTTGTCGGGTCCTGCGTGACACCGATCAGGTGCTTCATGTTGAGCTTTCCGCTGCACACCTCCCGGAGCCCATCTTTCACACCTTGGTTTATGCCAAGTGTACTAGGATCTGGCGATATGATCTTTGGGACACCCTGCGTGAGATTGCCGAGAGTATGGAGGGATTGCCATGGATGGTTAGTGGCGATTTCAACATCTTTCTGCATCCCGATGAGCGCGTGGGTGGCCGTTCGAACCGGTCACGGGAGATGTGGGATTTTGCTCAGGCGGTGGCGGACTGTGAGTTAATTGACGCTGGATGTGATGGTGAGCCCTTCACGTGGGTGAGGAACGGACTCAAAGAGCGGTTAGACCGTTCCTTAGTTTCTGAGGCGTGGGCGAAGGTGTTTGCGGTTACGACCGTCACACACCTTACTCGATTCGGGTCTGACCATTCACCCCTTCTCATCTGGTGCCGATTCTCGAGAACCCGCCACCGCTCTTCATTTAGGTTCCAGAACATGTGGGTTCGCCACCACTCCTTTCACGACACTGTCAGGGATTCCTGGCTTCAGCCGACTGGGCTCTTCGAGATGCGCAATCTCGAAGCGAAGCTCGGCAGACTGCGGCGTCGGTTGAGACAGTGGAACTGGGATGTTTTTGGAAACCTTCATCAGCGCCTTGCTGCGGCTCAGAGTGCGCACGCGACGGCTGAGCGGGCCTATGACCTGGACCCCACTCTGGAGAATAGGACTGCCATGCACCGCTGTCATGTCGAGTACCAGCTCCGACTCCTTATGGTGGAGGACTTCTGGAAGCAGAAGGCGGCCGTTCGCTGGGTGGCCGAGGGCGAGCGGAATACTAGATTCTTCCAGGGCTACGTTAGGCAGAAGCGTGCTAAGTCATACATCCATAGTATCGAGGCTGATGGGTCATCCGAGAGGCTCAGATTCGGGATTCGGCTGTTGCTCACTTTCAGACCCTCTTCACCTCTAACAGAGGGTCCCTTGTGGCCCCGAACGCTTCTCTTTTCCCCACCATCCCTCCTTCGGTCGATCTCATTGGCCTCTGTGAGCTCCCGAGTAGGGAGGAGGTTAGGGATGCTATATTCGGGATTGATCCCAACAGCGTTTCTGGCCCGGATGGTTTCTCCTCCCTCTATTATCAGGTCTGCTGGGATCTAGTCGAGACTGATGTCGAGGAGGCGATGTTGGATTTTTTCTCCGGCCACTGGATGCCGGATTCCTTCACGTCTACCTCTGTCACCTTGATCCCCAAAAGACCCAACCCGAGCTCTTGGTCCGATTACAGGCCCATCAGTCTGTGTAACGTGACCAACAAGCTCATTTCGAAGATCCTTAACGGCCGTCTTTCCCCTCTTCTCCCCTCCCTCATCTCTCCGAATCAGAGTGGATTCGTCAAGGATCGGGTCATTACTGATAACATCCTTTTGGCCCAGGAGATGATCCACGACATCTCCCATGCGGATTAGAAGCGGGCTTCAAATATCGCGCTGAAGCTAGATATGGCTAAGGCGTATGTTAGGGTAGAGTGGCCGTTTCTTAGGGAGGCCCTGGCTAGGATGGGATTTCATGACCGTTGGATCAGTTTTGTCGAGGCGTGCGTGCAGCACTGCACGTTCTCGGTCCTGGTCAATGGCAGCCCCACCGATTTCTTTCCCTCATCTAGAGGCCTTAGACAGGGCGACCCCCTGTCCCCCTCCCTTTTCGTTCTTGCGGCGGACTAGCTCTCTCGCTGCCTTGACGGTTTCATCCGCGACTTTCCTCATATGACGTATAGCACCCGTGGCTATGGTCCCCCCATCTCTCACCTCTCTTACGCGGATGACATCATCATCTTCACCCGGGCGGATGATGATGGACTGGTCGAGCTCATGCGCCTTTTGGAGCACTATGGCTCGGTTACCGATCAACTAGTCAGTGTGAAGAAAAGCACATTCACCCTCTCCTCTTCCAGCGCGGCCAGGTGGGCTCAGCGGGTCCACGGCAATACTGGCTTTGCGCGTGGAGACCTTCCGATTACCTACCTTGGCGTCCCTTTATATAAGGGCAACCTCACGAGAGCGCTCTTTGCGGGCATCAGGCAGAGGATGATCGACAGGATCTCTGGTTGGTCGCACAGACATCTTTCTTTCGGTGGTCGGCTTGCGCTGATCAAGAGCACTCTTAGCTCTCTTCCAATTCACTTGCTTATGGTCCTCGACCCCCCTAGGTCTACTCTTGACGAGATAGACCAGATTATGGCTCGTTATTTCTGGGGTTACGAGGACGGTTCTGGGAGGGGGAGACGTACCCACTGGGTGAGTTGGGACTCGATCTATCGTCCCCTCTCCGAGGGTGGACTTGGCATCCGCCGCCTCAGGGACATTGTTACAGCTTTCTCATACAAGCTGTGGTGGCGCTTCAGGGAAGGAAAGTCACTTTGGGCTCAGTACCTTCGCGGCGCCTCACTAGGGTTGGTAGGCGCGCCCAGGATCACATTTTCTAGGTTCTGGGCGAGGGCGATATTAGTTTCTGGGATGAGTGGTGGGTAGGTGATAGGCCGTTGTCTAGGGATATGCAGGTGTCGCATTCCCCCTACCTGCTTGTGAGCGACCTCTGGACGGACGGGTCGTGGGATAGGGGGAAGCCTGATAAGGAGTTGGGGTCTGGTGCGGGATTTAGCGGGCATTTATTAGATCAGATCTAGCAGATCCCTATCTCTGGGGACGGTTCAGATAGCATGAGGTGGAGACTTACATAATCGGGTGTTTTTTCTACTACCTCGGCTTGGGAGCAGATCAGGCTGAGTGATCGGCCTAATCTCTTCTTCGGGGCCATCTGGAGTGACCTTTTCACCCCTACTATTTCGGTGTTCCTTTGGCGCCTCCTCTTGCGTCGGATACCCGTGGATACTGTGCTACATGCGAGGGGGATCTCCTTCCCCTCTCGGTGTGTGTGTTGTTCTGAGACTGGACGCCATGAGACCGAGACCTTTACCCACCTTTTTCTAGAGAGTGAGATTATGAGGAGAGTGTGGGAACATTTTGCCACTTGGACACATATATCCCTACCCACCACATACAGTTTCTTTGAGCTTCTGAATTATTTCTCACAGAGCACACACCTTAGACACATGGGCTTCCTCATTCCTTGTCTGATCCTTTAGTTCACCTAGACAGAAAAGAATAGTGCGAAGCATAGGGATATTACTTTTATGTTTTCTCACATTGTTTTGCAGGTAGAGAGACAAATTTCACTCCTCATCGCATTGGGCAGGCTCACGGCCCGAGACTGAACAGGCTGCACGCCACCACATCACTACATGGTGGCCCCACCACCGCCTGTTCGTCACCCTCGGCCCAGAGCTGTTGTTTGGCTTCGACCTGACTCTCCGTGGGTCAAGCTGAACACTGATGGCTCCTTTGATCCCCACACTGGAGTTGCCGGAGGAGGAGGCTTGATCCGGGACCATAGCGGCGCCCTCATCACCACCATCCACGCGTCCCTTCAGGCCTCCTCGAGCTATGATGCAGAGATTCAGGCATTACAGATCGGGCTTCAGATTGCTTTCCACCTCTCTAGCCACATTTGGATCGAGCTAGACGCTGCGGCTGTCGCCACCCTTTTGACCTCGGGCCACCAGGGCTCGTGGCAGATTCAGCACCTGCTTATGCGTATTAGAGCTCTACTCCGGTCTGTCCATCACAAGATCATGCACATTTTCCATGAGGGGAACAGACCCGCCGACTATCTTGCCAGCCTTGGCGCCACCATACCAGACACACATACATTCCAGACTGACACTGCTCCACTCCGCCTTCGCATGCTTGTTCGGATGGACCAGCTTGGATATCCATCTTTCCGATTTTAGTAGATTAGGTTTTTGCTTTCATTAGTCTAGACATTTACTTCGGGCATCTGTTAGGCCGAAGATCGACTTTGTATTGTAGTTTCTGGTTCACTTTTGTTTTTCGGTTTTCTTTTTCTTTTTGGTTTTTTGTTTTTGATTTTGGTTAGTGAGACTATGTAGACTATTATATCTTGTTCGTTGATATTTTGGGCCCCGATTTTGGGGTCCTGATCTATGCCCAATCCCCCGCCCTTCCGGGGCGTTGTTTGTAAAAAAAAAAATAAAATAAAAATAAAAAACCTAGCAACTACTAACCTAACAATTACAGAGAACTAATCTAGCAACTACTGAGAACTGACCTAGTTGGAAGGTTAGTTGTCAACAGTCAACGTCAGAGTCAACGTTGGAAGTCAACGGTCAATGCTAGAAGTCAACGGTCAACGCCGGAGTCAACGGGTCAAAATAATATTTAAATAATTAAAATAATAAAAAGAAAAGAGTAAATCTTGGCCACACATGATGTACCAAATCTTGTGGCTAAAAATGAGTCTCACGTCCTCACTTTAAACTAATCCCTATATATATATATATATATATATATAGGGTTGCGCTCACATGAGAATGGTGCTTAGTGAAAGAAACGAGAATGAATCGTAATCATTAGATCGGATGATCTCATGGTTAAAATAAAAGTCAAATTATACCCTCATTAAGGGTAATGTTGTAATTTTCTATACCATATCAACAAAGTGGACCCCACTCTACATTAATAAATATGCTAACCTACCCTACCCACGTCACCAGACAACCCCACCCACATCAACCTGCCCCACCCCACCCCACCCCCTCCCCACACTCTCTCTCACATACACACGCACACACAGAACACACACAACACACACACGCCGGGAACACACACCACCACCGTCGTGCATACATTCCCTCCGACGGGCTCAACCACTGCCACACCATAACCACCGTTGCATCACCGCGGAGCATCACACTAAACACCGACCGACCTTCTCCAGTGCCGGTTTTTGGCTTCTCAGGCGGCAGCCGCTTCACGGCTTCAGACAGCCATTCAATTGCAGAGTTCGGCAACGACGATCCGATGCAGATTCCAGTCGCCAGATTCCGTCACCGCCGCCCGCCACCCATGTCCGAGGCTTCAAACCCACCGCAGCATCGCTGCGCCTTCATCCCTCAGGCGGCAACCGCTTCAGGCCAATCTACTCCGACTGTTCAGGAGACGTCCGCGGCGAAGACACTTCTCCAATTGAAGATGTCCGGCGACACGTGAAGAATGTGTGGCTGATTAGGGATGGGAGAAACACAATTTAAAGAATTTGGGGTTGTAATGGGGTGGGCTTGTTTTTTGTGAATTAGATGATTTGAAGGGACCTAAGTGTAAATTAAAAAATTCTAACTAAATTTCAATTGAGTTCATGGGGCCAAATGTGTAATTTTTTATACATATATGTAATAAGGTGGGCTTCTTTTTCTTTTGTGAAGAATGTTATTATTTATATAACGTCATTTTTTATACATATATGTTATATTTTTTTAAAACCAAAACTACTATAAACTATTAAACAAAAGTACTATATTAAAACACTTTTGTTATTTTAACCAAAATATTAAATATATTTTTGTAATAATAAATAATGAAATATTTTAATTATTTAGGTTTGGATTGCATGTAAAAAGAAAAAAACGAAAGCACAATAAACAAATGAATATTAGTGATTATAGTATTACACATTAATGTTATACCGATTGCACATTAATGCGTTTGTGAATGCACAATATCATAAAAAAGTGTGTGTTTTCACATATATTAAAATTCTGACTATTTCAATTCGGATTCGACTTAATTTTAAAATAAATATAAGTATTTAAAAAACAATATTTTTTATTTTCCACAAACTATAATATAAAATATTGAATAAAAATAGATTTATTAAATATATTTTGTCGTATATATGTTACTTGATAAATGCAAAGTAACGTTAATTAAAACACATTATTAAAGTTTCTAAAGTCGAATGCACATTAAAAAAAATATTAAACATTAAACTGCTCAATAATGTTGTAATGCAAGTTATTGTCAACGGGATTGCACTTTATTGGCTAAGGTAGTGCACTTTATTGCTTTCGCTATTTTATTATCATATCTTTCCAAATAGTAATAATGTAAAATATTAAATATAAATATTAAAATACTAAATATATTTTTTCATAATATGAATAATAAACCTTTATCTTGTTTACGAAAATTCAATTAATTAATCAAATAAACCAATTATTTCAGTTCAGTTTTAGTTTGATATGGAACAAATATTTAAAAAATGCATGTGATGCAAGTGCACAATAGTGTTATATAAATTGCACTGTAATTACTATCATATTGCACAATATAGTCATAAATCGATCTAAATACAATTTTCATTTTAAACTTTTATATTTCATATCGAATATCTATTTTTTACTTTTCAAATATCAGTTATTCATGTTCGATGTCTACATTAGCTTTTATAATAACGAAATAATCGAACCAATCGAACTATATAAAGTATTATTATTATTATTATTATTATTATTATTATTATTATTATTATTATTATTATTATATTTTTTTTAACGTATTGATATTGCACAATATTGTTAGATAGGTTGCACATAAAAGACTTTTAGATTGCACAATAATGATCAAAACTGTCCAAATTAAAATTTTCAATTAATTATAAATATGTCACATGAACTAGATTATAATAAATTAATGTCTTTACAATTGCAACTAGGTCCTTACATTTTATCAAATTCTCAATAAAACAACCCCAATTCACAAACACCTTACAGTCTCCGCCTGCCGTACGAGCCGCCTTCGCCGGCGGCTATGAATCGTCGAACGACACGTCGCCGCTGCGCCGCGCTGGTGTTACGTCGGCGGCAATTTTGCAGAGGTCCTGTACTCATTCTCTGTCCATTCCCGGCGGGCTTTTTCGAGACGCGAGCTCTCGACGGTGTCCAGTGGATCGACGGCGGTCTTCTATCCCAGATACGACTGAGCGTGGGAGATGGCCGAGCTGTGCTGGACTGTTGAGGAGCGGTTGTGGTGGAGACCGCCGGCGGAGCTTTTCCGTGGTTTTGGGACAGATTGCGGCAGAGACGATATCCCTGGCGGATCTGTGCCGAGCTATTGGGGATCTGGTGGAGAGACGACGTATGTGTTGGAGGAGACTACGGCCATTGACGGTGGTGGAAATCCGACGCGATTTTCCGGTGAGGTGTTACCATAGTAACAGTGAGAAAGAGAGCGGTGTGGTTGTGTCCGGCGGAGGTCAGGGATGTCGAGAGGCGAGTTGGTTGCAGACGCGACGGCGTGAGGCGGCGTGTGCGGTGGCTCCTGGTGGTCCGGCACCTCAAAGTGCGTGAGTGTGTGTGTGTTCTGTAATTTGTGTGTGTAAGAGAACGAGGGAGGGGGTAGGTGGGTTGGTACGAATTTGTGAAGGAATTAAAATGGTAGTGGTGGGTCCCAGCGTATTGATAGGATTGAATTAAATGTCCCTATTACCCTTAATTATTGGTTAAATGCACATATTTGACCCACCATGATCAAATAATTACCACATTGCCATTAATGATTGACTATATTATGACTTCATCTTAACCATTGATATGATTGATCACATGGTCCAGATCCATTCTTATTTCTTTCACTATCTACCATTCTCATATGATCCTAACCCTATATATATATAGGGTCGCGCTCACATCAGAATGATGCTCATTGAAAGAAATAAGAATAAATATTATCCATCGGATAGGCTGATCCAACATCTAAAAAATACCTCATATTTTAAACACATTAAGGATAATGTGGTAATTTTTATACCCAACTAACATGTGGGCCCCATCTGATACTAATGAATCCTATTAATTTTCAACCCACCAACTAATAAGTGGGACCCACGCACCCACTTTCTTTCACACTTACACACACACAGCCTCCGTCTCTTTCACACACAACACACACTTCTCTACACACACACGCACACAGTGGTCTTCCCCGTCCCTCCATCTCCCGTTCCACCGTCAGAAGCTCCCTCCCGCCGACTTTCAACTTCTCCGACGTCTGCCGATCCGACACCGCCGATCCGACAGAATCACGTCACATAGGCCGGCATCTACATCCATCATCCATGTCCACCGCTCTAGCCCCGCCGTCACCATGTCCGCCGCTTTAGTGTTTCAGTATGGAGTGGCGGTCGCCGTCGAACGGAGCCAGAGCTCGCCGGAGATCCCGAATGGAATTGACGCACCGACCCTGCATTTGGTGGTCGACAGTGGTCACGATTGGCCGATGCAGATCCTCTCACGGCGGCATCGGATAACCCCTCACGGCAGCGTCTCCGTCGCGGTTGCCGGATGTCAGTGCTCGTCGGCAATCCCGACACGAGGGCCGGTCATGGCGGAGGTCTCCTGCAGATATACAACAAGCTGCCAAAAAAAAAAANATCGGGATATAGTTAAATTGTTGATTTTTTGTGAATTAGATAATGTTAAAGGGCCTATTTGCATTTCTTAAAATTTGATTGCTTTTCAATTTACATAATGGAAAAATCTATGATTTATAACAAAAACTAATGAATGCATATTAATGATAAATAGGATGCACAATAATTAAAAATTTAATATGAAGTTTATGACTATGCATATTTAAAATTACATGTATTACAGACTGCACCATATTGATACACTAAATGCACATTAATATGTTCGGGATTGCACATTATCGTAATGTAATGACACTGTGTAAAAACAAAAAAAAAGAAAGGTACATTGATACGTCATTAAGTCCGTTTTTTAACTTTTAATTTTGTGAGTATTCTTTTAAAACAATCGAAATAACATATTCGAACAAACGATATAAATATATTACATTTGTTGTTTACATACATAATGTATCTTGAACTAAATAAAACATTACAATACTAAATATTTTTTTATAACATAAATTACAAATTATTACAAATTAGTAGTTTCACCCCGGCTTTCCTTGCTCTATTTCATTAGTAAAATAACGACAAATCGAAAAATATTCTCTTTGCCTACCAAAACCTTTGTCCGGTTGAACATCATCATATAATTTATAAAAAATATAATAAATTCTTATTTATAGACTAATAGTAAACAAAGTGCACAATATTGCTGATGTATATGCACATAAAAAAAAAATATGCATTGTGGACTGCACAACTTTGTTTAGACGATATGAACAATAATGTACGCGATATTGCACTTTATAAAACAACACATTACATTTTATAAAACAACACGTTGCACTTTATAAAATAATATTGTACTGTATAACCACGTTACAATAAATCTAATTTTAACATCCATCACATCATCTGTCCACAAAAAAATACAAGCATGTTAATATACCAAAATGACAGTGATGCACTTTATATAACAACACGTTGCACTTTATAACGCTGCACTTTATCACAGCTACCAGATCGCACAAAATAGTGAACGGAACCGACCGAACTCAATTTTTTTTCAACTAAAAATAATATAAAAATAATAAATAAATTATTAATTAATTAAATATAATTTTAATATAAATAAAAAATTATTTCTCCAACAATAACGATAAATTTCGAACAAACCAAAATTATCGATAAAAAAAATTATATTTAAGTTCAATTATCCGTCTTTACTTTTAAAATCACGATTATTTCAGTTCGATGACGACTTTATTTTTAAAATAAACAAAATAATTGAATCGACCAAACCATATAAAAGTATTATTATTTTGTATTATATTTTGTTTATGTATTGGCAGTGCACATTAGAGTTACGTGAATTGCACGTTAATGACTATCGGATTGCACAACATCGGCCGAACTAAATTTGTCAATTCAGAAGTTTATAATTCAATTTAATTATTTGTGTTTATTCTTAAAATTACATTTATTTCATGTCGTCTTTGTTTTTTAAAATTTTTAAAATCACCGACCCGACAAATAAAAAATAATATTATTTTATTTTTATATATAATATAAAATTAAATACAAATATTAAAATAATAATTTGTTTTTTTACACATTTAAACATTTACATGAATTGTAATATATTAAAAATTTATATAATTGCAATCAAGTTCCTACATTAAAATGATAATTATATTTTTCAGCAATTACATATTTAACCTCTGACCTGAATTGTAATTTTTTAAATGTTTATATAATTGCAATCAAGTCCCTACATCTAATC